TGGCCTTTGTGCTGCGCCCGCTATTCGTGGCCCTCATGCTATGCCTGCTATTCATGGTTTTAAGCTATGCCGGATTCATAGCTTATCCTCATGATAATTTAGTAAGGAATAATTGGTGAAGATATGACCCTTTGGCTGCATAAAAAGTTTGACAGCCACCAAGCACTTTTAATTATATATGACAAAAAAAAATATATGTAGCACCCCAAACTTCTATAAGTGCTAATTCTTTATCAACAAATATCCATTCTATAACATCTAAAAAAATTTAATCCTGGTTTATTAACTTAATGAGGTTAATTAGTGAGTTAATGAGATGTGTGGCTAGAGGGGCTTAACTTGGCATAATTGTTGTGATTTCAACCCTAGAAGTAGGTCCAAATCGATGGCGAGCCACCCAGGTAAAGGAAGAGGAAGAAAATGTAAAGAATCATTCTCTGTGCCACACGCCGTGGCGCATGGTTGGTCCGCCACGACACGCAGAGACAATTTAAATGTAACAGGCTCCTCTATACCATGTGCTGTGGTGGAAGGCATCGTGCACCGTGGCACATGGCCAAAAATCAAATATATCTTATTCATTCTACGCATGAAAACAAAAGAGAAGAGGAAGAGGAAAACGAAGAGAACTCTGAGGCTTTACTAGGGCACGCATATTGGATCTCATTGTTAATGTTTTGGAGCTCCCAAACACCTAAGGTAGGTAATCTGAGCCTCATTCTTCCTTTCTCTCCCTTATTTATGATGACTTATGGTAAGGTTTGAGTTGAAAAATGGATTTTAGGTCTATAGGAATATGGGTCTGAATCCATTGATTAATATGAGTATAATGGGAGTTGTTTAATATATTGGAACACCACATTAACAATTTTGGAAGTGGTTGGTCCGTGGAAGCTTTTATTATCCAAAAATTATCATAAATATGGTAGTTATAAGAGGTTAATGTGCATTAATGGTGGTTGGTGGTATCATTAGTGATAATATGCATTAATGAAATTTAATGAGCCCATTAGGTATGAATGAGTAGTGGTTATGAATTGATAAAAATAAAGCATGTGGAGTTATATGTGTTAAAGCTTCAAGAGTTAGACAATGATAATATTCTTGTAGTATAGATGTAGAGAGGTTCGTTTTTGGCACCATTGGAGCTTGTTGAAGCTTCGGGAAGTTAGTATAGTAAGGGACAAACCTTTGACCTCTCAAAGGTTTGAGGTAATCGGGGGAAGCTTTACTTTTATAGTTGAATATTAGTTGTATTTTGGTGAAATATGATGAATGAGTTAAATTAATAATGCATATTGATAAAGTGTTTGATTTGTGAAATGGTTTTGGAAAGAAAACCTTGATTTTGTCACCCTTGGTGTTTTATAAAATTGATTGTGATTTATCACTATGGGTGGAGAATTGTGATGAATTGTGTGTTGAATTGTGGAGCATTTGTGTTATGTGAGTTCATGTGTTAAGAAATGATTGTTAAAATGTATAGTATGTGTGAAATGTGCATAGCATGATCATTGACGGGAGTTCGCCTAAGGAGAGGAATAAATTGGTTAAAAATTCATGTGGTATTGGCAGTGACCGTTGAAATTGGGAACTAAACTTGGCACCAACTATTGGAATCGAGAGGTAGCCCTTATCTCATGGTTGTTTCAGGACTGTCCCACTTGTTCTATGAGGGACTTGACCTAACTAATCTCCATTGGTTCATGAGGAGGATAGATTAAAGGCACGACACCTCATAGTTGTTAATATTGAGGGAAACCAAATTACATAAGTAAGTGAATTCACCCTAGCCCAGTAGCTCCTCACAAGTGGAAGGCTTGGTTAGTTTGTGAAAGACGTAGCCACGTGATAATCACTGATTTTATGTCGGAGGTAACAGGAGGATATAAGGTTGGCATCTAATCATGCATATAAGTTTGGCCACATGATTGTTAGTTTTGTGATCCAACATGTATTGAAGGCACATGGTTATTATTTTTGCAACCCTATGTTATGTTTTTGCTAAATAACAGGATAAGTGTTTTGTGGCAAGCCCGGTCACATAATTGTTAGTTTTGTAAACCGTTGCCTAGTGTTATGTGATATATGTGCTTGTTTGCCTAATTATATCTATTTACAATTGATATGCAACTGTATAGGTTAAGTGAAACTAAGTTACTGAGTGATTGTACTCACCCCTCAATCCTCAATATTTTCAGGACCTAGCTTATCAGATTCGAGTCGGGAAAAACATACAAAGGTTTAGCATTTGTGAAGTATTCCTCTATATGCCTATCTTTTGCTACTTTCATGTGGATTTGTTAATATAATTGCCAACTAAAATTAATTGACATAATTTATGCACTACTTGCATGATTTTGTGTATAACTAGTGTATTTTATGCCTTGAGTTAGTGAGTTTTGGTTGTGAACCCATGGATAGAGCCAAAATACTTGTGCAAGTAAAAACATATGTATTTTGAGAAATTTGAAATAAAAGTCAATTTTATGCAATATTTTCTCCCCCTATATGTTTTGTGGAAATCAGGGTTAAGTGGTGATTTTATGATATAAGTGTTTTCGATTGTGTGTGGTACGTTGTACGAGTCCGCAAGAGTTCATTGAGTATGGTTGAATGATTGGTGTAAGCTATTAACACATGTGGTTGAGTTGGGACACCCATTTATGAGATTTTGTGGAAAAGTGGTCAAAATAAATTTTGATGTTCAACTTTTTATCGAAAATGAGTTTGAATGTAAAATCGGTGCTATTAGCTAGAGTTAGGAGAAAGCTCCATAGAGAAATCAAAATCACCTCAATCGGATGTCGGACAGAAATTTGAAACACGTCAGAAGTTGGTGTCCTGTGCTGTCATATGACAACACTGATTTGTCAAATTTCATGCAATGTGCTGTGGCACACGGCGCCTCATACCGCAGTGCATGGCATAAATAAGACACGTCGCAGTGCATAAACCATAAGTCATGGTGCACATGTCATTTTCTTACAAAATCTAGTTTTGATTTTTAAAACTCATTATTTAGGTCCCAATTGATTTCCAAGGTTTTGCTTTATTTTCAAAACTCTGATTTAGATTTATTAAATTATATTTGAGATTTGAATTGCTAAGATTGGGATTCCATCTAAAGAATTTTGAGAAAATCTTTTTATAAAACTTTACAATTTGGTAATCCTTTGAGGGTAAAACCCTAGATTACCATAATTCGGAGTAATTTATAGTTTAACCTCAGGGAGGTTACACATTTGCGGTTTAATGATAATGCATTTAAAATTAACAATTCATTTAGATTTTAATAAGTTAGAAAAAATGATAGCATAAGTTTAGTGGAATAACTTTTCACTTTGCATAAACAATAAATCATTTAAGTTTTAACAACAACAAATTTATAATTAATAAGTTGTTTGTTCCATTAGACTTGTATTGTTAGTTTTTATAATTTATTAAAGTTTGAATGGATGGTTGTTAATTTCAAATGAGTTATAATTAAAACTTGAATAAATACTCGTTAACGAATGACTTACACTTTATACAATTAAATTATATCCGATCAGTTTTTCTAATTTATTAAAACTCAAATAAATTATTGTTAATTTTAATTATGTTATTGTAAAACTCAAATGGACACTTGTTAAGAAAAAACTAACACTTTAGAAGTTTGGGCTTGATAAGAATATGACTTATAATATACAAATATTCTTTTTTACCATATATGATTGAAAGGGTTTTGTGGCTTCATGCCTACCCATCTTTTTAGGTGGCTTGTGGAGGTGGGGACCTTTGCCAATTATTTTTCAATATATTGTCACCAGCACCAATGCTTCAATGAATGGTCATTGGTGACTCATTGTTAATAGAGGCTCCAATGACCTTGTTGGCAATAGGATTTTCAACAATTGTCTTATAGTTACACCAACGATAGTGGAGTGACTTTTTTTAAAATATTTTAAATTTTAAAAGCAATTTAATCATTTCATGTAAAAAAAATATTTCATCTGGGGACCAATGAATTACAATGTAATATCAAAGTTTATTGGTCCTTAAATAATATAAAATTTCTCCAACAATCATTGGTTGATATTTTTCGTAAAACTTTATGGGTTATTTCTGTGTAGACATCTCCTCCTGACTCACAATTACATTATATGAGTAACATTGAACTTATCTTTTCTTTTTCTTTTTTTTTTAACAAGGCACCTAATATAATTGTCATTTCAATTTCCCTTTTTTTAATATTATACCTTCTTCGTAGCTATTTCTGTAATCAAACATTAAATTTGCATGTTGCAACAAATGAATTTTTATCAAATTTGTAAGCTTTATTTATTATTAATTATTAAAAGAAAAACAATTAAGGTTTACAAATTACGATTTATTTTCATTCTTATAATTAATATGAAAGAAACTAAACCCTTAGTGTGAGACATCCCACCCTTTTAAACCTTTAGTGAATGAGTGTCTACATACTACTCCTCCATCTCAAATTATGAGATTTTTTTTTTTTGATAAAATCTTACATATCAATAAATTTAATTAAATACATTTAATAATCTTATTTTTTTCAAAACAAAAGTATAAATTTTCAAAAACACCATTCATTTAATATATTAAAAAAAGATAGGGACAGAAATTAAATAGAGAAAAAGAGTAATATTAAAATAAGTCTATTTAAAAAAAATTTAATCTTCTCAAAGTGTTATATTTTAAAACATTAATTTTTTAAAAAAATATCTTATAATTTGAAGGAGAGGGAATATATAGTATATACTCTAAAACCTAAATAATTGAAGATTTTGCTATCCACAATTTCCAAGAAAAATCAAATGAACCAAAATAGTCAGTTGCTACTTCAAAATTATTAATCAACAAAAAAAAGAAAAAGAAGAAGAGGATCAACTAATCACAAAAGCATCAACTTTATTTTAGGGTTTATTATTTTTTCATAGGCATCACCTGTGGACTCACAATTAAATCATATGAGTAACTGTGAGCTTATCGTTTTATGCTTTTATTACGACCTTGCGCTTAAGAACAACAAAAAGCACATGGAATTTAAACTTGAGAGCGTCCAAGACTTCTGGGTATGCCCTAACTTTCTCAGTGAAACGATCAAAAAGTTCATCAACGATTCCATCTCCAAAGTGCTTCTCAATCAGTACTTCAAGCACAGCTCGTAATCGCGAAACATGAGACTCAATGTTTGGTGCAAGAAAGCCTTTGTTATCTATTAATTCTGATTGCTCGATGCTGAAATCTTTATTAGCTTCAAATATTTTCATCAAATCCTTCACATGTGGGAAAAATGTTGGGATGTTGAAAGTGTCCACTTTTTCTTCACTTATCAGTCCCTGCAATAAATATGACAACAAAATCATTAGCAAAATTATATTACGTTGCCATGTACTCATATTCATTGTTCATTTCGTCTAAGCTTCATGTTTTACATATCAGCATACTTGCTCCGGCACTATAATATAGATATTTTTTTAAAAACCTTATTAAATTCAAAATATAGGACATTTGATAAATTTTATAATTCTTTTAACTATATCCCTAATTCATTTATTACTCTTTTTAAAAAAATATACATTGAAATTTTAATTATCATTATTAAAGCACTTATATAGGGTATTTATTAATGACGGTAAAATAAAAAATATGTAAATGTTTTTAAAAAATTAAAGTTTCAACTAATATTTTTTGTGAATCGTTAATTAGTTACCAATTCCTTATATTTTGATTAGGAGGGAGTATATAGGAAGACATATATTCATTATTTAATTTATTAACTATTTTTATTATTAAATACCTAAAACCTAAGGACACATTTGACATTTCACATCTAAAAAGTCACATTTGTTTTTTGTTTCATTACCTTTCCATTCTACAGAGCAAAAATTCAATATTTACCAAACCAAAGGATTAAATGAAAAATTATCATGTCTGTAAATAAAAAGACATGACGAATAGACTCTGCTATTCAATGCTAATTATTCCTCAAGTGAATTCCAAATGATAGTGCATGCTATTTTAACACATCCTATGTTTAATTAATTAAGTCACTCATCAAATGATTATAATATATATTTCTCTAATTTTATTTATAAATCATTGTAAACACATTTCACTAGAATTTAAAAAAAATATTAAAATTCATTAACATTGTCCAAATATTCAATAAGTTCTCAACTTTACCTTTATTAAATATACATATTTTAATAACATACTTTCTTTTACTAAAATTTAATGATGAGTAAAAAGAAAAATTTGTTATAAAAATTTAATCATGTGACTTATAAATAGAATTGAAAAAAAAAAAATTCTCTATCTTATACTACAGGGAGGGTATATATAATTAATAAAAAAACTATAATATCTATCAGCCATGATTAGCAGTATAGATTATTTTTCAAACTCTATAACAAACAAATCAATGTCTAGCAACTTACCAATTTGGCCATGTCCATTAGGCAGCTTCCCAGAAGCTCATAATCTTTCCCAGCATACATGTCTACGCTAAAGTCAATCAAATCATCAGCAACAAGTATCAAGCAAGCCAATATGCCATTGTCCACAAGCTCTTGAGCTCTGGCTTGCAGAAATGCCTCCAAATCCATCTTAAATCGTCTCTCATAAGCATCAAAAACTTCCTTTGGAGCATTAGTATAGAAAATCTTCCCCTTGTTGCAAGCACCAGAACTTGTATCAGTAAGCTCTTTGGGCAGCTCAGAAAGCCATGAAAGTGCTGCAGAAGAATGAACTACATGCAGGCTTTGCCTTGGGAATAAACGTCCATAGAAAGAGCCAGGAAGTCCAACAGCAAAGTAGTTTCTGTTTGGAGGAAGCTTCTGGAAGAGAGTGTTGAAATCATTAGACACTTGATCATTGAAGAAGACTAGGATTTCTGGGGTGGCTTGATTATGATTTTGCTGAGATGGGCATTGGATCTGTATTGCTTCTATTACGTTTTGAACAGCAATGAAGGTGTTCGGCCCAGTGGAGCAACCTAAATCAGCTATGCAAATTGGGTTTGTAGAGGAAGCACAAATGGTTCTTAAATCAAACTTGCTAGCAATCGCACTTTGAAGAAAGTTCTTGGCTGCTTCAATTGATGACCTCTGCGTACATTATATGATTAGGAGTATCTTTGAAGGTTAAGAAAAAATAAATAAATAAAGTATTCTCCTTCCAGTTTAAAATATAAGGACTTTTAACAATACTTATACTAATAATATGCTTATTTTCATGCAAATATATAATGTTTTTTTACCCTTAATTTCAATTTATTTTGAATGAGAAAATGTTATAAATTTACAGACACAAAAGTTTAGGTTAATAAATATAAAGGGATAAAATGAGAATTTTTTTTTTAACAAATACTAAGATACTTATACTTTAAACCAAGATTAACTAAGAGAAAATACTTATATTTTAGATAGGACGGAGTATATCTTTGTAGCTTGTTAAAATCATAATAGACCTTATCTTTTTGGAACTTTAGATGTCCTTGGGTAAAATCACGAAAGCAACAAAAAAAATAAGAAAAAAAATGTAATGTCTACTGTTGATGATCAATAATTTACGGATCACTCTAAATATGTGTTTAAATTAATGACTATTAAACTTTATACTTATAAAAATAAATAATAAAAATTAGAGAAATATATAATCACTCTAATACAAAGAAATATATGGGGAGAATGACAACTGAAGACCATCTAACAATGTTAATGTAAAATAAAGAATATTTACAATTAATTAAGGTCCTCGTTTTACATTATTTTTTCTATCTGGTCTTGTTTACTTGAAAATATGTACTTACCAAAAAGTGACAATTCATCAACTATTCTAGTCAGTCTTTTTCATTATTATTTTCATTAAATACTGAAACATTTTGTATTTATCCTTAAAATAGTCATGCGTAATGTAACTTGTAAGAAAATCATTTTGTATATTTTGTTATGAAAGTACATTTGTATTGCAAAGACAGGAAATTTCTTTATTTTATTCCAATCATATTATTCTATTTCATCAATGTTACTCTCTCCATTCAAATATATAAGATATTTTTTAAGAAATTAGATGTTAAAAAATGAAAGAAATTTTTAGTGTTTTAAGGTATAATTAATATGATTTTTCTAAAAGTGCCTATAATAAATAAATTATTTTATATTTATTTTAAAATAAAACATTCTAATAAATAAAGGTAAATATAGAAAAATGGTATTAGTTTGAAGATAAATAACTACTTTATTAAAAAACTAATATTCGGTTAAAAATGTCTTATACTTTTTTTTTTTAAAATATTTATGTTCTTAATTTCCTTGATGGTCATCACTATTTGCGTGTCTTTAGAGTAACATTATCTAGATCCGCGGGGGGAAAAGGAGGCGACTTCTGTCTACTATAGTGCAGTAGTGGAGAGAACTGCAAATCTACATCGTTAAAAAACATTTTATGATTTTGATTTGATAGTTTTCAAAAATATAAATTAATTTATACCATTAGAATTTGATGTAAATAATTTAAATTTCTAGTGGAGTTGTGGAGAAAAATCGTAATAAGCAAAAAAACCCCAAGAGTGTATGATGAAGGCTAAATACCTGACTGGCTGAGTTTTGAGCACAGCTATGAGGACCCTCTCCTCCTTTCATGGCATAAGATTCAGGACACACTTTGGCAACTTCACCCTCCATGTTTCTCGTTTTTCTGCATTATTGTTCTAATTAAATGTTTATAAGACATAGAAAAATGTATTTAAAATAAATAAAAGGATTTTGTACCTACTTGCCCTTGATTATATTCTGTATGAAAAATTACCTGAAGTAAGAAGAATTTTAGAGTAGATCTAGAGTTGGAAAGGATTAGAGTAGGGAAACAATTCTTGATTCTCATAACAGGAGTCAAGGATGATGAGTTCAACATTTAATGCAATTTTTAACTTCCACCTATCAACATTTAATTAATTCATTCCACTATCAACATTTAATGCTGCACCTACATTTTATTTTACTTCCTTTATTTCAATTTTTTCGTAATTTATGATTTAAGAGAGAGGTTGAGAATTGATTAATTAATACATACTCCCATCTTTATATATAAGGGAAAAAATATATCATACAGTTTAAAAAAATTGATTAACTATAATAATTATATCTAAAAATAAATTAAATTAAATTGTCCTGTGTTAATTAACATAAGTATGCATTAATTATTTCTTATTAATATAAATTATGAAAGGTGATTTAAGACATGCTTAATAAATGATTATTGAAATAGGTAATTTTTCTTACATAAAACAAATAAAAAGTGATAGTTTCTCCTACAAATAGAAATGAAGGAAGTGTAAAATACTTCCTTATTCTAATTTATAAGGTATTTTTTAATAAAATTATAATATCCATTGTTTTTCCACTCGAGTTGACTCCAATTTTATTATTTTTATATTTTTAATTTATAAAATTGTATCAACTCATAAGTTTAGACTAGATATAAAATCAACTAAACTCACAAGTTGATTCTTGGAGTTTATCATTTATACATTTTTGTTTTATATAATCATGTCAACTTACTCATAAATTTAAATTAAATAAAAATTTGATTAAACTAAACTCATCAATTTTTTTACCAAATTAAGCAAGTTAAGCATATATTGTCATTATTGTGTAAAACTTGGTTCATAAAAATAGAAGGACCCAACTGTTTGAAGAGAAATAAAACTTAAAAAACAAAAAATAATATTAATAAAAAAATAAGAAATCATAAAAATAAGTGGCCTTATTTTAAAATTTTTATGTTAAGAATGATAATCTATCAATATAGATAAATTTAATTTTAATGATTTATATTTAAAATATATGTTAAAAAAAGGATGGTCATATTTATATGTTAATTATTTAATTATATACTTTTAATAACTAACTATTTATTAATAGAAGTAAATAGTTTACAATCTGAGCGTACATCTTTATCATTAGTTTACTTAAACTTGTGAATCTAACAACTTTGCACATACCAATGAAGTTTGTTAATACAAATGATAATCTTAATTTTATTATAAACTTTAACAAAAATGAATTTCATTAATAAGAAAGAGATATAAAGAAATTTATTTAGAGAATAAAATAATCAAGGCTAGTAATGAAATAATTATCATTAATAAAATTTTATTTTTGTTAAAATATTTTATATGTTGGACACCAAATCACCTCCAAAAATATCTCATAAATTGGGATTGGAGAGTTCTATAATATCCTTATTTAATGTCACTAAAACATGTGGGTCTTATAGTAATGTACTCCTCTAATCCTATTTATAAAGTAAAGAAAGAATGTTTGCTTTAGTCCTATTTATAAGGTATCTCAATGATTATTATATTTACCTTTATAATTTTATCCCTATTAAATGTAGAGAAGTTTATTAAATGTTAGAGTAATTTATTTTAAAGTAAATATATTTAATAGGGATAAAATTAAAAACTTATTGAATTTGTAGATAGAGTTAATGTGGTTTAAGATTTTTCTTAATTTCAATGAAAATACTAAAATTGACTTATAAATAAAACTAAATGGAGTATATAATCTAAAATTGTTGATATAGTTATGAAAGCTTATGCCTATTAATTTTTTTTAACTTTTAATAAATACTTCAAAAGCTATTATCCCTGTTTTAAATTATAAAACACTTTTAAATAAAGTCACACATACTCAAAAAGCTCATTAATTATATTTTATAACTTTTTTATTAAAATAAAAATATAAATTCTCAAAAATATATTTCATTTAATGCTTCATTTATGAACAAATATTAAAAAGAGAGAATATAATGCAAAAAATAATATTTAAAAGTATCATTAATAAAATAAATTTTATTTTTATCAAAGTGTATTATATTTTAAGAGGTTAAATTTTTTTTAAAATATCTTATAATTTAAAATCCACCAAAAATTATAAATGTCATAGATGGGTTCTACATTTAATGCAACTCTTAGCTCGCACTTACCATCATTTAATTGACTCACCTTTAACTCTCATCATTTATTGGTCAAAAAAAAAATAATAACTCTCAACATTTAATGCATCAGCGTACATTTAATTGACTTCAACTCCGTTTTTTTCAAGTCTTTTCTAATTTATTAGTCTTTCCATTTAAATTTATAACAGTTTTATAAAAAAAATACCCATGTCGCTTATTAATAAAATATTAAATAGAGAAAAAATATAAAATAAAAGGCAAGGGTAATATTAAAACAAGTACTCTTTGTGTTTTTAAATATAAGAGAAATTATCATGTATCTCTTTATTTTTATTTGGAAAAATTAATATTTTGATCCCTATAGTTTTAACTTGATTTTAACTCAATCTTTGAATTTTGATCCAGTGCAATTCAGCCCCTATGTTTTCACAATTTAAAATATTGGTCATTATATTTTAAAAAAATATAAAAAAATTATTTTAAAAATTATGAACTTATATTTTAAATTACTAAAAATTTTAATCTTCATAATTTTTCTAAAGATTAGAAATATTTATATTTGAAAATAATTTTTCCTAAAAAGAGATGTTTGGCGAAACTGAAAAATCAAATAACTCGAATGAGGAGAAACAAAAAAGATGAAATAAAGTATTGACCAACATCATTTTTTTTTTCTCTGGAAGAACCTTCACGTACTGTTAATAGCATTATAACTCAAGAAAGAGCATTGGTTGATCATACCATTAGAATATACTCTACTCAAATAATTCTGATGTAATTTTGCTTTTCTCTTTTGCTCTGATTGTACCTACAGTTTTCTTGAATGAAACTTCCTTTTCACTCAAAATATAAATAAATAAATAAAAGAGTCGACCAACATCTCTGATTTTTTTAAAAAAAAATTCAAAGTGCATTTGTTTCAATGGTATGTCTGAAATATAATTCATTATCTCTCCAGTTCGGTATTCAAGGGTAGAGTGAAGAGGTCAAAGTTCTAAAATAACAATTTATTATTTTTTGAAATAATTTTAATGTTTATAATTTTATTTGTTAAAATATAGGGACTAAATTGTATCAAGTGAAAGTTTAAGGACTGAGTTACAATCGAATCAAAATTATAAAGATTTAGTTACAATGAGTCAAAATTTATATACTAAATTATACTCCTCTCATCCTATTTATAAAACAAAAAGAGAAGAAAAAATTTAATCCTATCTATAAAGCACTTTTTCAATGCTTCTCTTTACATTTTTGTTCTTATTAAATGCTTTGAATAAAAATATCAATAATGAAATTTAAGAAAATTTAGTAGGGGTAAAGATGAAAACTTATTAAATTTTAAGACAAAGTTAATAAAGTTTAATATTTTCCTTGGTTTCGGCAAAATATGCTGAAAGTGATTTATAAATAAAACTAGATAGAGTAACTAAGTTAAAATTATAAGATGAAATGATTAATTTTTTTTATTTATAAGCAAAATTATAAATTTTAAGAACCATTTATCATATTTTTTCTAATTGTTGCTCATAAAGTCAACATTTATTTTCACTAGACAATTTATTTCATTAATTACAGGGATAATTCAACATATACTAAGAAATGAGTACGCTAGTTAAACTAGCATAACCCTTCACCAGTTGAGCTACATGCTTATAGGTCAATAAGTTTTATTAAATAAACTTTACAGTTTTATTTTTATAAAAGAATATAAATTTTTAAATATTTCCTTCACTTAATATTCCATTTGTAAAAAGATATTAGAGAGAGGATTTAATAAAAATGATAATATTATTGGATAAGCATTATTAATGAAATTTTATTTTTGTTAAAATATTTATGTTTTAAAATGTCAAATATATTCAAAAAAATATTTTATAAATTAGGATGGAGGTATAACAAATAGGTCAAATGAGTACCCTTAAAAGAAATTGATGTTTGAACAATTTTTTAAAATATATCTTGTCTCCCATTACTCTATATATATAGAAAAATGGACTGTCAAAATTGGTTTATTTTTTGTATTTGAAAACTACCGCAGTCCACATAATACAAACATCAAGCAAGAAAGTAAAAATAAGTACAACCTAAAGATTGAAATATAGACTTCCACCAAGGTGTCCAATTTCCTGATATAATTTCCAACCAGTTGAAACTAAAGAGATTCAAAAGGAAGTGGATGTCTTTTTTCAGAGTTCAGAATCTTTGTCAGTTTCTCTAAGAACATTTCCATAATCCTGTTTCTTGATAAATACCACAGTGACATAAGAAAATTTAGGAGGACCAAAAAAATCCAAGTCAGTTATCCACTTGAGCACCGCAGGTAACTCCATCAGGATAAATTGCACCCTGCCTTCATTCTGTCCTGCTACATTCTTTCTTTCAACAATAAAAGCAAAATCATGGAAAATAACTATTTTACTTCCCTTGGATTTACCTCTTCCTCGCTGGATAATCTGATTGATGTTAACAAAAAATAAACCAACCCTTTCAAACTATTGCAATTTGAGGAGTGATATTTTTAGAAGTAGACTAATATGTCTTCATAGCTTCCCATTTCTTATCATACTGTGTCTGCCTCTCAGCATCAGCAATTGAGACTTGAATAATAGCCCCAGCATTGTTTATCATCTCTTTAATATGTCGAGGGTGAATTTATTCTGCATTGAATTTTTTCTTATTTCTGCAATCCCAGAGAGCTTGAACTATGAGCAGAATTTCCTTTAATTGATCTAGCCAATTATTATCAATTGCAACTTTGTTAACCCAATCAACAATGAATGATTTGATATTTGAAATTCCTTCAGATCTAATTGTGAGTTTTGATGAAAACCAAACAGCCATAGCCAGATCTCAATGAAGAAAGATGTGATTCAGAGTCTCCTCAGCATTCCTGCAAATGGCACATCGATCTTCATTTTGCAAATGATGTTTCTGCAAAATGTCCGAAGCAGGGATATCTTTATTGATAATTTTCCAAGAGAATAAAAGAACCCTAAATGGTAGTTCAATCTTCCAAAACTCTTTCCAATTGACTCCTTATGCATAAGACAAGATTTGATTGTGTTCAACCATAAGAGAGGACAATCCTTTTTTAACTGAGTAAATTCCATCACTTGTTTTGTTCCAAACAAGAAAATCATTCTGGTCAGAAAAGGAGAAAGGTGTTCTTAATATATCATCCATATCATTGCGGCAATAGAGAGAGGAAATAAGCTGTTGATTGCAAACAGGATGATCCTCGTCAATAAGATCTGCAACAGATAGATTCATATTGCCAAAATTACAGCATAAAGGAAACCATTTCACATGGTTAAACGAAATGCCACTTCCGCTACTAACCTGCCATTTCAGGTTGTCCGCAATGAGGAATGATACCTTGAGCAATCTTTCATGATCCAAGAATAGCTAGCTTTGGCCTTGCAATTTCCTTCGAGAATCCGTTTTTGATACTTGATTTTAAGAGTTCTTGCCAAAAGAGAACTATCATCATACATGATGATTCTCCATGCCTGCTTTGCCAAAAGAGCTTTATTCATTTCATTAAAAGGCCTAAAACTCAGTCAATACTACAGCAAAGTTTTCGCTAGGAGAGAAGGTGCATCCTGTTATTTCTAGAATTTGAAGATCCCCAAAAGAAATTTGCACACATCAAGTCGATCTTTGAAGCCATATATTTGGATAAAAGAAAACAAGACAGTAGATAAACACAAGAAGAGATCACAGACTTGATCAATGTTAATCTAGCTGCTTGAGATGAAAGAGAGGCTTTCCAACCACAAAAGTTTCTTGTTGATCTTTGTTCAAAATATCAGCAAAAATTCTCTGCCTATCTGAGAAGTTATCAATATAAATCCCCAGATATTTTCCAAGGCAATTTCCAAATCTAACATTGAGAATATTAGCTCAAGAAATTTTATCATCATCCAAAGTGTTTGGGCGAAAAATTACTTCAGATTTATTAAAATTGATCTCTTGACCAGCATGGAAGCAGAATTCATCAATTGTTTTAACTGTTCCACAAAATTGGCTGTTTGCTTGAAAAACAGAATAGTATCATCAGCATAACTGAAATGAGTAATAGGATAGGCATTCCTGCAGATCTTGACTCCTTTCCATTTACCTTGAGCTTTCGTATTGGATATGTGGAGAGAAAGAGCATTTGCACACAAGATAAAGTGATAAGGATAGAACTGCTTCGATAGCTTTCCGTTCATTAAAAGTCGATATGACACAGTGGTGACACATTGCATAATCATGGAAATCCAAATTGGTGGAAAGTTCATCTATGAAAGAATTTGCTAAAGAAAATACCAAGAGACTTTATCAAATGCTTTGGAGAAGTCAATTTTAAATGCAGCCCAGCAGCCCTTCGCTTTTTGGTTGAATGAATGTATGCAGCAATTCTGAAGCTATTAGAATATTATCCTATATTCATCTTCCTTGAATAAAAGCACTTTGATGAGGAGAGAATAATCACCAAGATTACATTTGATCCTATTCGCAAGGACTTTGGAAATAATTTTGCACGCTACACTGCAAAGACTGATAAACCTGAAATCTTTGAAAGTTTGAGGGGCTTCACATTTAGGAATAAGATGAATTAGAGTTTTATTCAAACTCTTCAGAAGAAAGCCTCTGTCACGGAAGGTAAAGATCATGTTGTAAACATCCTCCCCAATCCACTCCCAGTAGTGTTTAAAAAACTTTACATGAAAACCATCAAACCTTGGAGCACTATCATCAGGCAGGTCAAAAACTGGTTTTTTAACTTCATCTGAAGTAAAATTTTCCATTAGAAAGTTGATGTAATTTTGCCTCAGTGGTGGAATCACCTGGCCAAAGACATTTTGTCCTACTTTCAAACTATGAATATGAATTCCCCATGTCAGACACATGATCAAAGGGTCATAACACCACACCCTAACAAGCATTAGAAGCTCAAACCATATAATGACTGCCTGGATGGACCATGATAACAGTTTCTTAAATGTCGCTACACCGAATGTTCCATGATATTAGCCCGATCATTTAGATTTTTCATACTTTATCAATTAAAATGAACTTCCACATTATGATCATGCCTTTCACACAAGTAATTACATTTCTCATATTTCAATCATATGTACATAAAATACATCACATTTACCTTTTCAACTTTTCAAAACAATTTCCTTTAATAATAAACTTCATAAATCAAAACCCTTTTCAACGCAAAGTCATGCAAATTTTCAAATCATGCAATTTATTAAAATCACATATATTATACTATACATTTACTTATAAACAATTAAATTAGCTAATTGACGGAATGAATTATTTGGTTATCTCAATCTTTTTATTTCTAGAAAGGGTTATCCGTGGTACTTTTTAACCTGTTAGTTTCCTCTTGCTTAAGTCAACACATGAACCATGTTAATCTACACAATTTATCACTATAAGTCAATACCAATTATCGCATTTAAACTAAGTAAAGCTCGCTTTATCACTTTCAGTTAAGAATCTTAACTCTAATTCACATTCCCCATACTTTTTATAACTTCCATTAACCTTCCTATAAACCACACAAGCATTTTTATCTTTTTAAACTTCACAATTTAGGTTAAATTGAGCCTATAGTTTCAAAACTTAGTCATTACTTTTTAAACTAGTCATAAAACTTTAGTTTACTGCCCAATAGCCTTTTCATAACTATTAAGTTAGAAAACAACCTCTTAAAGCTTCTTAATTTAATTTCTCTATATCCTAAATTTAGAGAAATTAAGGTAAAATAAAAGCATAGGTCACAGCATGTGACACAATAAAAAGAATCTCAATATAGCCCACATGCTCTTCTCTGGATTATCATTCTCTCACTCAATCATATTCATTCAACAGCTCAACAAGACAAAACATCAATTTACCATCCAAATTCCTGGTTATTTACTTAGTCTATTAATTTACCCTTAATTAATAATTAATTTTTGGATTAAAAGTTCATGATAAAAAAATGAACACCATATCAATATGGGGAAAGACACTACTAAAGTCCCAAAAGGAAAGAACATATTTTTACTCGAGTCTATTTACATCACGACGTTCATGTCTTGAATTCGAGTTCTAAATATGCAACTACAATAAATACTTATTGAGAAATGTTTGTTGTCAATGTGGTCCTACCAATTTGGTTCATAAATAATAGGGGTGTATTTTATATAGATAAGATGTATGAGATATTATACTATTATATATCAAGGACATAAGGAAGGAGCATGTGTTAAGACAAAAAAGGCTTACATGTAAAACATTTTTTAAATACTCCCATCGTGCTTTATGTTTCATCATATTTATTTTTTGAGAGAAAATTTTGTTTCACATTGCATGGTCTTTTCATAATTTTCAAAACAACATTTGATAACATTTTAAATATTTTAGCGCCTTAGAATAATTTGCTATTTGTTATTGCATGCAAAAAAAAAATTACTATTTATTATCATAATGATTTTAGAGATAACGAGTGAGGGACATATTCAGTATATCAAAGTTTTATGTGTGTGTGCATTTTCTTCTTTAACTTTCATAATTTTTGCAGAGTAAACCTTAAAAATTAAAAGGGTTAATTGGCATTTGTATCCCTAACTATTCGTGAACACTACAACAGAGTTTTGGTTGCAACAGTTATAAAAGCATTGCTTAATATGGGTATAAGCAACAGTTTTTATATGTTGCCATTGATAGCTATTTTAAGCAGCAAATATTTGGCAACATTTAAAAATTATTTCCTAAAATAGAATGGGCAATAATTTTCAAATGTTACAATAAAATTTTTAAAAAAACAATATAAAAACTGTTGCCTATAATATTTCTAATAACAAAAAATTATTTTCATTTTTTAATAACTTATCTATATTCTTTTATTTGTTTATTTATTTTATTTTTCTTATTTTTAATTTTTCATTATAAAAAATTAAAATTTAATTTAAGTATTATCTATATATATATATATATATATGTTTATAATATTTTTGCATTATAATAATTAAAAGTATTATTGGAATAGTGGTTAAAACCATCTCATCTCTTCAAGTGAATCAAGGTTCTAATCCCAAGTGAGGAAAGAAATATTAAACTTTGGTTATTTAATATTTTTGCAACAATTCTTAAATGTTGCATATACTTATATAGTAAGCAACAAACGAAAAATAGACCATTGCCTATTGTCTTACTATAAGCAATGATTTTATAATTTGTGATCTAAAATATGAAAAAAAATCATTATCTTAGACTATAGGTAATGGGGGTAAGTTTCACGTTCAAAAATCATTACCTCACTATTACAAAATATACATTTTACGTCCCTCAATTTACGTTATTTTTTGTAAAATTGACATAAAAAATAAAGGTGGTGATAATATTATAAATAAGTATTAAATATGTAAGACTATCCATATCTTTTTTTAAAAAAGGGGACATATATTGTAAAAAATAAAATATTTTAAATTATTAATTTTTAAATATTTTTCACGTCCCTTTTTTAAAAAAGGAACATTGTAACTTACCACGTCCCTTTAAAAAAAAAAGGATGTAGATTGTAGAAAATAAAATATTTTAAATTATTAATTTTTGAATATTTTTCAAGTCTCCTTTTTAAAAAAAAGGAACATAGATTGTAAAAAATAAAATATTTTAAATTATTAATTTCTGAACACTTTTCACATCCCTTTTTTTAAAAAAGGGGACGTGGCTTTTTAAAAAAAAGGGACGTGAATTGTAAAAAATAAAATATTTTAAATTATTAATTTTTAGATATTTTTTACATCCCCTTTTTTAAAAAAAGGGATGTGAATTGTAGAAAATAAGATATTTTAAATTATTAATTTTTGAATATTTTTCACTTTCCTTTTTTAAAAAAGCGACGTGAATTTTAGTCAGCTTTTTTATATTAGATCGAGCTTCTTCTTTTTTTCCTTATTTTGTATTTTGAAACCTAACTCCTCTCCCTTTTTCCTTTCAATAGCAGTATGTCTCTTGTAACACCCTCAAATTTACAGACCGATTTTTCGTAAGTTATTAATTCAACAAATCTTTTTTTTTTCATTGAACCCTTATCATGGTAGAAAAATTTCTACCATGATATATCCAAGACAATATACCACAGGTCTTAAAATATCTCAAAAAAGCAATTAGAACCATGAGGGACAGAAATGATCCTCATAGCATGTTATTCAAATCAGATCATAAATCAAGAGGGACAGACATAATTCTCTTGATCATATAAATACTTTTAATAAAAAGGATTAGAGTTTACATGCTTCACAAAGAAGATATGTCCTAAGTTGGCACAAGATACATTGTATAATCTAAAATAAGAGGCAACATAAAAGATGGTGTCTCATACACCACAGTTACACCTCTGGTGCTTTCTCGGTCGGACTCGCTCCTGTAAAAATATTAACCACAGGGAATGAGACTTAAAAGTCCCAGTAACCAAAAATTAATATGTAATGATGCATGCGGATGTAACTAATTATGCGATTGCTAAGTGGGCACACAAAACATTTAACCGAACAATATTTTCAAACAAACCGAACAAGTATTTAATTGCATGACTGCACCTTATATCCTCCTTTCACCATGCTCGGACGCCAAATCACCCGGCCAAAGGTGAGTTGGACCAAGCGACACGCCACTCATTGGGTCCAATGAGGGCTTACCACGTGGTAATAATTAACCGAACAGAAATTCCCATTAACACCATACATTAAAATACCCTGACAAGTCATGCATCATTCAAATATCCAAATAGGAATATATCCGAACAATAATATCTCATCATGATAAATAAAAATAAATTTTTAACCCACTTGACAATAATTTCAAACAAGTATATAACAGTATTTACTTTCAATAATTCATAATTTTTCCAAACAACAAGTCAACATATAACCATTCACAAACACACTCATCACAATATATTAATAATGGTTACCTTGTGTCTTGAATAACAAGTTCCCCTTCACAACTCCTTTTTCACCACTATCTTTGTCAATATAATCTACATAATTATTTCACAATACTATATATTAATTTTACATTAAAATAAATAACTCTAATTTAAAGAGTTAGAAAATCTTAGATCTATAATCCATATTAACACTAATTTAAGATTTTTACCTCATTTAACTTCCCAAATTCTTTTCTAAAATTCTCGTACCCTAATAAACTATTTTTTAAGCCTCAAATCACTTCTAGTATCACAATTTCATCCTTCTATATTCTAAAAATTCGTCCAAAAATAAATTAAAAATTTTAAAATTATCCTGAAGCCTCAAATCACCTTTCTATAACCTCAAAAATACCCATTCATACTTAAATAAATATCTAATAATCAGAGGTTCATCCCTACATCTCAGATTCTACATAAATTCAACCATATAGATCTAGATTTTAACTTAAAAATTCTTAAACATGAGTTTCAACCTCAAGAAAATATCCTATAATATTTATTATATCCCTAAGAGTTTTAACCTATATTTTTACTCCATCATATCATCAGATTAACTATCCTATAGAAAAATCCTAATCAGAATATTTACTCTATCCTACAAAATAATCATATCACTAGAAAGCTAATATTATTTAGAAAATAACTATAAAATTAATTTTGTAATTAAATAAATTTTTAAATGCTAATCTAAACAGGAATGTTAGAACATACTTGAAGAAAAAGAAAATAATCCCCCCTTGCGAGAAAACGCCGAGCAACGTGAGAGGAAGAGAGAAAAATAATATAAAAATGGGATTGTGGTCCCAAAATTATATTAAAAAAAACTATAGGTTTGAATTTAATTATTCAAACTTTTGGGCCAAAAGTTGCAATTTCCTCTAAATTGCATCTTAGCCTCTCATGCTTCCTAAT